TGATCCACTGACCCTGTGTGGTCTGTGACTGATTGACTGCCTTGTGGTCTGTGACTGATCCACTGCCTTGTGGTCTGTGACTGATTGACTGCCTTGTGGTCTGTGACTGATCCACTGCCTTGTGGTCTGTGGTTGATTGACTGCCCTGTGGTCTGTGACTGATCCACTACCTTGTGGTCTGTGGTTGATTGACTGCCTTGTGGTCTGTGACTGATCCACTGCCTTGTGGTCTGTGACTGATTGACTGCCTTGTGGTCTGTGGCTGATCCACTGCCTTGTGGTCTGTGGCTAATTGACTGCCCTGTGGTCTGTGGCTGATTGACTGCCTTGTGGTCTGTGACTGATTGACTGCCTTGTGGTCTGTGGCTGATTGACTGCCTTGTGGTCTGTGGCTGATCCACTGCCTTGTGGTCTGTGGCTGATCCACTGCCTTGTCGTCTGTGGCTGATTGACTGCCTTGTGGTCTGTGGCTGATTGACTACCTTGTGGTCTGTGGCTGATCCACTGCCTTGTTTTCTATGGCTGATCCACTTCCTTGTGGTCTGTGACTGATCCACTGCCTTGTGGTCTATGGCTGATTGACTGCCTTGTGGTCTGTGGTTGATTGACTGTCTTGTGGTCTGTGGCTGATCCACTGCCTTGTGGTCTGTGGCTGATCCACTGCCTTGTGGTCTATGGCTGATTGACTGCCTTGTGGTCTGTGACTGATCCACTGACTTGTGGTCTGTGACTGATTGACTGCCTTGTGGTCTGTGGCTGATTGACTGCCTTGTGGTCTGTGGCTGATCCACTGCCTTGTGGTCTATGGCTGATTGACTGCCTTGTGGTCTGTGACTGATCCACTGCCTTGTGGTCTGTGACTGATTGACTGCCTTGTGGTCTGTGGCTTATTGACTGCCTTGTGGTCTATGGCTGATCCACTGCCTTGTGGTCAGTGGCTGATCCACTGCCTTGTGGTCTGTGGCTGATCCACTGCCTTGTGGTCTGTGGCTGATCCACTGCCTTGTGGTCTGTGGCTGATTGACTGCCTTGTGGTCTGTGGCTGATCCACTGCCTTGTGGTCTGTGGCTGATCCACTGCCTTGTGGTCTGTGGCTGATCCACTGCCTTGTGGTCTGTGGCTGATCCACTGCCTTGTGGTCAGTGGCTGATTGACTGCCTTGTGGTCTGTGGCTGATTGACTGCCTTGTGGTCTGTGGCTGATTGACTGCCTTGTGGTCTGTGGCTGATTGACTGCCCTGTGGTCTGTGGCTGATTGACTGCCTTGTGGTCTGTGGCTGATTGACTGCCCTGTGGTCTGTGGCTGATCCACTGCCTTGTGGTCTGTGGCTGATCGACTGCCCTGTGGTCTGTGACTGATCCACTGCCTTGTGGTCTGTGGTTGATTGACTGCCTTGTGGTCTGTGGCTGATCCACTGCCTTGTGGTCTGTGGCTGATTGACTGCCTTGTGGTCTGTGGCTGATTGACTGCCTTGTGGTCTGTGGCTTATTGACTGCCTTGTGGTCTATGGCTGATCCACTGCCTTGTGGTCAGTGGCTGATCCACTGCCTTGTGGTCTGTGACTGATCCACTGCCTTGTGGTCTGTGGCTAATCCACTGCCTTGTGGTCTGTGGCTGATCGACTGCCTTGTGGTCTGTGGCTGATCGACTGCCTTGTGGTCTGTGGCTGATTGACTGCCTTGTGGTCTGTGGCTGATTGACTGCCTTGTGGTCTGTGGCTGATTGACTGCCCTGTGGTCTGTGGCTGATCCACTGCCCTGTGGTCTGTGGCTGATCGACTGCCCTGTGGTCTGTGGCTGATCCACTACCTTGTGGTCTGTGGCTGATCCACTGCCTTGTGGTCTGTGGCTGATTGACTGCCTTGTGGTCTATGGCTGATCCACTGCCTTGTGGTCAGTGGCTGATCCACTGCCTTGTGGTCTGTGACTGATCCACTGCCTTGTGGTCTGTGGCTGATCCACTGCCTTGTGGTCTGTGGCTGATTGACTGCCTTGTGGTCTGTGGCTGATTGACTGCCTTGTGGTCTGTGGCTGATTGACTGCCCTGTGGTCTGTGGCTGATCCACTGCCTTGTGGTCTGTGGCTGATCCACTGCCTTGTGGTCTGTGGCTGATCCACTGCCTTGTGGTCTGTGGCTGATTGACTGCCTTGTGGTCTGTGGCTGATTGACTGCCTTGTGGTCTGTGGCTGATCCACTGCCTTGTGGTCTGTGGCTGATCCACTGCCTTGTGGTCTGTGGCTGATCCACTGCCTTGTGGTCTGTGGCTGATCCACTGCCTTGTGGTCTGTGGCTGATCCACTGCCTTGTGGTCTGTGGCTGATCGACTGCCTTGTGGTCTGTGGCTGATCCACTGCCTTGTGGTCTGTAGCTGATCCACTGCCTTGTGGTCTGTGGCTGATCCACTGCCTTGTGGTCAGTGGCTGATCCACTGCCTTGTGGTCTGTGGCTGATCCACTGCCTTGTGGTCTGTGGCTGATCCACTGCCTTGTGGTCTGTGGCTGATCGACTGCCCTGTGGTCTGTGGCTGATTGACTGCCCTGTGGTCTGTGGCTGATTGACTGCCCTGTGGTCTGTGGCTGATTGACTGCCCTGTGGTCTGTGGCTGATCGACTACCCTGTGGTCTGTGACTGATCCACTGCCTTGTGGTCTGTGGCTGATCCACTGCCTTGTGGTCTGTGACTGATTGACTGCCCTGTGGTCTGTGGCTGATTGACTGCCCTGTGGTCTGTGGCTGATTGACTGCCTTGTGGTCTGTGGCTGATTGACTGCCTTGTGGTCTGTGGCTGATTGACTGCCTTGTGGTCTGTGGCTGATTGACTGCCTTGTGGTCTGTGGCTGATTGACTGCCTTGTGGTCTGTGGCTGATTGACTGCCCTGTGGTCTGTGGCTGATTGACTGCCTTGTGGTCTGTGGCTGATTGACTGCCTTGTGGTCTGTGGCTGATTGACTGCCTTGTGGTCTGTGGCTGATTGACTGCCTTGTGGTCTGTGGCTGATTGACTGCCTTGTGGTCTGTGGCTGATTGACTGCCTTGTGGTCTGTGGCTGATTGACTGCCTTGTGGTCTGTGGCTGATTGACTGCCTTGTGGTCTGTGGCTGATTGACTGCCCTGTGGTCTGTGGCTGATTGACTGCCTTGTGGTCTGTGGCTGATTGACTGCCTTGTGGTCTGTGGCTGATTGACTGCCTTGTGGTCTGTGGCTGATTGACTGCCCTGTGGTCTGTGGCTGATCCACTTCCTTGTGGTCTGTGGCTGATCCACTACCTTGTATACACAGCTTTGGCATCTCTGTCATTCTCTCTCTATGCCGCTGCTTTCAGTTTATTAGCCCTTCTGATGCAGGTGATCATACAGACTAGGAATTTTATTTAATTGTATATGTTTATCGCACTTTAAATGGGAGGCATAGTAGGCAGAGATAGTTGCTGCCTTGACATTATTTGAGTGTTAGAAAAACCACAGTAAATTAAATATTGTGTAAGTGAAGTTGAAGGAAAGCAGTGTGGTCCAAAAACATGAACTGAGGTTGTCATGTGCCAACCAAAGGGCACAAATACGCTGGCTCATCTGAAGGTAATGCCCCTTTATCAGGGCCCATACAGCAAAGAATAGTAATACAGTAAAAATATCATACATGTCATAGTAGGCAACTAAGGGTGGTTGGGATGAGACTGTCTCTTAGCTGCAAAATTCAACACATTTTCAAGTCCTTAAAAGGGTTTGGTATGTGTTGGTTTAGGGTGAGATGAGAGGCAGAAAAAGAAATAGAAATCAATCAGGTACCATCTTTACAATGAGGGTTGGCTGCATTAGATCCTTAGTACTCTCTTTTCTTCTGATCTTGTTGCACACACTTTATCTATCTTTTAATGTCATCTTTCCACTTGCATCACTGTCTACTTTTTTGTGACTGCTTTCAAAATTGTAAGCGAAAATGTCTTCTCAGGACAAATGAGGAAGAAGAAGATTGCCATTGTGATACTGTTGTCATTTGTTGCAGGCGTCCTCAAGTTCCTGCAGCCTGTATTTGTTCAGCGTGAAGATTCAGAGTCACGGACCAAATCTGTACAGGAGATTCGAGACAGGAGTTCTTCGCCCCTTCTTTGGCCCCAGATTATCATTTTTCCTGAAGGCACTTGTACCAACAGAACATGTCTGATTTCATTTAAATTAGGTACTGCAGTGGATGGAGAGAGAGAGAGAGAGAATACATGAACGTATGGTGTATGAGGGAGTGTGAGAGAGCGATAGAAAGTGTATGTAGTGTTTCTCTCCACTGAACAGCGAGCTGCCATCCCAGAGTGTCTCACAAAGTACCAGCGGCAATCATTGTGTTTTAATAGAATGTGCCATGTTTAAATTAGATTCTATCTAGGCAGTTGTTTGCCCTCACATTATGTGTCACATATCTTGCCAGGCATTTTTAATATAGATGTCCCTGTAAGCCACGATGCCACACTAACATCTCTCTTAGTCTCCTTTTGCCTCTCTTTCCCTTCAGTTTTTCTCTTGTCGTGATCGACCAGTTTTTGTTCCTACTGATATGCTAAAAAAATATGTATGTGTTGAAATATCAGTATTTTTAAGATACGTTTTTTCTGTCTTATTCTCTAGTCCTTTCATTGTCAGGTTTGCGAGAGGTATCTGGTGCAAGTCTTGGGGAGGGGGGGATGCTGTATAGATGCTGGTGTTCATGGCCATAACCCATGGATGCCCTGAGTGCTGTGATGTCAGTTCTTGACTCAACTCAGTTCATAGCCATAATCTGTCTCTTGCTTGAATTTTCAACCTCCAGCTCTGTGTCTAAGTGACAGGGCTGTCTGTGGTGTGTGTCTAAGTGACAGGACTGTCTGTGGTGTGTGTCTAAGTGACAGGACTGTCTGTGGTGTGTGTCTAAGTGACAGGGCTGTCTGTGGTGTGTGTCTAAGTGACAGGGCTGTCTGTGGTGTGTGTCTAAGTGACAGGGTTGTCTATGGTGTGTGTCTAGGTGACAGGGCTGTCTGTGGTGTGTGTCTAAGTGACAGGGCTGTCTGTAGTGTGTGTCTAAGTGACAGGGCTGTCTGTGGTGTGTGTCTAAGTGACAGGACTGTCTGTGGTGTGTGTCTAAGTGACAGGACTGTCTGTGGTGTGTGTCTAAGTGACAGGGCTGTCTGTGGTGTGTGTCTAAGTGACAGGGCTGTCTGTGGTGTGTGTCTAAGTGACAGGGCTGTCTGTGGTGTGTGTCTAAGTGACAGGACTGTCTGTGGTGTGTGTCTAAGTGACAGGGCTGTCTGTGGTGTGTGTCTAAGTGACAGGACTGTCTGTGGTGTGTGTCTAAGTGACAGGGCTGTTTGTGGTGTGTGTCTAAGTGACAGGGCTGTCTGTGATGTGTGTCTAAGTGACAGGACTGTCTGTTGTGTGTGTCTAAGTGACAGGGCTGTCTGTGGTGTGTGTCTAAGTGACAGGGCTGTCTGTGGGTGTGTCTAAGTAACAGGACTGTCTGTGGTGTGTGTCTAAGTGACAGGGCTGTCTGTGGTGTGTGTCTAAGTGACAGGGCTGTCTGTGGTGTGTGTCTAAGTGACAGGGCTGTCTGTGGTGTGTGTCTAAGTGACAGGACTGTCTGTGGTGTGTGTCTAAGTGACAGGACTGTCTGTGGTGTGTGTCTAAGTGACAGGACTGTCTGTGATGTGTGTCTAAGTGACAGGACTGTCTGTGGTGTGTGTCTAAGTGACAGGGCTGTCTGTGGTGTGTGTCTAAGTGACAGGGCTGTCTGTGGTGTGTGTCTAAGTGACAGGGCTGTCTGTGGTGTGTGTCTAAGTGACAGGGCTGTCTGTGTGTGTGTCTAAGTGACAGGGCTGTCTGTGGTGTGTGTCTAAGTGACAGGACTGTCTGTGGTGTGTGTCTAAGTGACAGGACTGTCTGTGGTGTGTGTCTAAGTGACAGGACTGTCTGTGGTGTGTGTCTAAGTGACAGGACTGTCTGTCTGTGGTGTGTGTCTAAGTGACAGGGCTGTCTGTGGTGTGTGTCTAAGTGACAGGGCTGTCTGTGGTGTGTGTCTAAGTGACAGGGCTGTCTGTGGTGTGTGTCTAAGTGACAGGGCTGTCTGTGGTGTTGTGTCTAAGTGACAGGGCTGTCTGTGGTGTGTGTCTAAGTGACAGGACTGTCTGTGGTGTGTGTCTAAGTGACAGGACTGTCTGTGGTGTGTGTCTAAGTGACAGGACTGTCTGTGGTGTGTGTCTAAGTGACAGGACTGTCTGTGGTGTGTGTCTAAGTGACAGGGACTGTCTGTGGTGTCGTGGTCTAAGTGACAGGACTGTCTGTGGTGTGTGTCTAAGTGACAGGACTGTCTGTGGTGTGTGTCTAAGTGACAGGACTGTCTGTGGTGTGTGTCTAAGTGACAGGACTGTCTGTGGTGTGTGTCTAAGTGACAGGACTGTCTGTGGTGTGTGTCTAAGTGACAGGGCTGTCTGTGGTGTGTGTCTAAGTGACAGGGCTGTCTGTGGTGTGTGTCTAAGTGACAGGGCTGTCTGTGGTGTGTGTCTAAGTGACAGGACTGTCTGTGGTGTGTGTCTAAGTGACAGGGCTGTCTGTGGTGTGTGTCTAAGTGACAGGGCTGTCTGTGGTGTGTGTCTAAGTGACAGGGCTGTCTGTGGTGTGTGTCTAAGTGACAGGGCTGTCTGTGGTGTGTGTCTAAGTGACAGGGCTGTCTGTGGTGTGTGTCTAAGTGACAGGACTGTCTGTGGTGTGTGTCTAAGTGACAGGACTGTCTGTGGTGTGTGTCTAAGTGACAGGGCTGTCTGTGGTGTGTGTCTAAGTGACAGGGCTGTCTGTGGTGTGTGTCTAAGTGACAGGACTGTCTGTGGTGTGTGTCTAAGTGACAGGACTGTCTGTGGTGTGTGTCTAAGTGACAGGACTGTCTGTGGTGTGTGTCTAAGTGACAGGACTGTCTGTGGTGTGTGTCTAAGTGACAGGGCTGTCTGTGGTGTGTGTCTAAGTGACAGGACTGTCTGTGGTGTGTGTCTAAGTGACAGGACTGTCTGTGGTGTGTGTCTAAGTGACAGGGCTGTCTGTGGTGTGTGTCTAAGTGACAGGACTGTCTGTGGTGTGTGTCTAAGTGACAGGGCTGTCTGTGGTGTGTGTCTAAGTGACAGGACTGTCTGTGGTGTGTCTAAGTGACAGGACTGTCTGTGGTGTGTGTCTAAGTGACAGGACTGTCTGTGGTGTGTGTCTAAGTGACAGGACTGTCTGTGGTGTGTGTCTAAGTGACAGGACTGTCTGTTGTGTGTGTCTAAGTGACAGGACTGTCTGTGGTGTGTGTCTAAGTGACAGGGCTGTCTGTGGTGTGTGTCTAAGTGACAGGGCTGTCTGTGGTGTGTGTCTAAGTGACAGGGCTGTCTGTGGTGTGTGTCTAAGTGACAGGACTGTCTGTGGTGTGTGTCTAAGTGACAGGACTGTCTGTGGTGTGTGTCTAAGTGACAGGGCTGTCTGTGGTGTGTGTCTAAGTGATAGGGCTGTCTGTGGTGTGTGTCTAAGTGACAGGGCTGTCTGTGGTGTGTGTCTAAGTGCAGTTCTGTTTGTGGTGTGTGTCTAAGTGACAGGGCTGTCTGTGGTGTGTGTCTAAGTGCAGTTCTGTTTGTGGTGTGTGTCTAAGTGACAGGACTGTCTGTGGTGTGTGTCTAAGTGACAGGGCTGTCTGTTATGTGAAGTTATTTTGACATCTAAACCATAATCAAAACACATGTCAGCAGATTAGATGGAACATTAAATAGCCGCATCCACCGTCTGTACTCCGGGGGCCCATTTTGTAGACAATAAGAGTATGACTCACTGCCCTCCACCTTCTAAATAAAGTTGGCTAATAAGGGATGTTTCCTGGAAAGTCGGAGTACTAGGGTTAAGAACTAATAGTCTGCATACAAATAAGCCAGATCTGTAAAATGGACTCAAGTTCTGTTACAAGACCAAAGTCCAGGAGTGGACAAACAACCAGAACTTTCTGACAGAGTTTACAGCCCATGAACACTAAAGTGTATTTGGAATCTATCATGGAAAAAAATTACTCACAAAGAGAACTGATTATCTACATTAGAGTCATTTAGGTGGCATCATATTAGCTAGATGCTTATTGAAATCTGCATCAAGGCTGTCCTTTGTGTGTTCATAATTAACTTTGGTTCCTAGATCTACCTGTCCTGGTACCAGGTAATATCCTGGGAAGTAAAAGCAGCCTGCAAGGTGTTGACCATATGGCCTACCAAGTGCCAGTGATTCTTCCCAAATATCTGTCTAGCCCTATATGTCCGATGCATCAGCAGCCACGCCTGGAGAGTGATGCTTTACTTACTTACTAATCATTTTGGAAACCATTTGTTTTTGTTTTCTGATGAAGTCTTTATTATTGTGACATCCAAATGGATATCTCTGATTATGTTCCTATATAGCAGATAAGTTTTTCTATTTTTTCTTGACATTTGTAAATGTATGCAGCTTGAATTAAAGTGTTTATAAACGGCTTCAGTTTTCAAAATATCACCAATCCTTTGTTTCAGGAGCCTTTTTTCCTGGGGTACCGGTTCAGCCTGTGTGTGTGAAATTTCCAAACAGACTGGTTTGTACAATGTCAACATTAACAGTGTATACACTAGATCAGGGCTATTCAACTGGGAGCCAGAGCTGGCCCATGGAGGCCTAGCAAGTGGATCATTGACAGCTATGTTGTATTAATGATCTTTCTGTGCTGGGGCTGCGGCCTGTGAGGATCCCCATCTTCCTAATGTTGGTCCCTGAGTACACTTAGTTGAATAGTCCTGAACTAGACAACCTGGTTTATGTATAGGATGAAATTCTGCCATACGGGACATAACCGACTTACTTAATTCTCCCCAAATAGAGTAGGTCACTTTTCATTCACAAGTTTGTTGAGCTGGTCGATTCTCCTGAAGGTTACAGGTGTGTCCCGTTCTATAGTTAGCTTTACATGTTGTCTTGCATTTATGTTTTCATTCCGAGAAAGTGAATGCCTGTGAAATAGGTTGCAGCACTCGCTAGGGGAGTTGTGTTAGGGCCATGACCCTATTCTAGGGGTAACAAGAATCGGTCCACTGTCTCCATAACAAGCATGTTGTATAAGGCAATTAGTTAGGGGTATTTCTTGTGAAACTGGAGTGCATCTGCCTCTCAGATGAGAAACCAACAGTCTGCATACAAACAAACATGATCTATAAAGTTCTGGAACAAGATCAAATTCCTGAAGTGGTTGAACAACCAGAACTTTCTGCCAGAGTTTACACCAGTTCATCACTCAGAAGTAGTAGATTCACAAATATAATGGCATACATTATTTACTCTAACTAATTATATTTTCTTTTGCTCATCTCATTCAGCTCTCTCTCTCTCTCTCTCTCTCTCTCTCTCTCTCTCTCTCTCTCTCTCTCTCTCTCTCTCTCTCTCTCTCTCTCTCTCTCTCTCTCTCTCTCTCTCTCTCTCTCTCTCTCTCTCTCTCTCTCTCTCTCTCTCTCTCTCTCTCTCTCCCCTCTCTCTCTCTCTCTTTCATATGCCTCTAGCCACCTCAAAAAGCATTCATCCCCTCATTACATTGATTCTTGTCCAGTCAGTCACAGAAACAAGAATGCACTTTTCTCTTCTCTCAAAGAATGAATTTCATTATCTCCACAGTGGATGCTGTCTCACACATAGTATACTTTGTTAGACTACTGTTCATTCATCTTAATGTTATCCTCCCACTTATATCACTGTTTTCTTCTTGCTCACCTGCTTGTAACTTTTCTCCACAGTGTTATTCTATATATGTTGATGTCTTTTACAGTGGTTGACACATTTCAGTTGTCCTTTTTTATTTTTTATTTCTCTCATCATCATCTCTCTTTTCTGCCTCTTTGGCCAAGTGATGAAGGCATTTGCTACCCCCTTTAAAGGTCATGGGGGAATTTTACTGACTGCATCGTTAAGTTGACATCAAAAATTTTTCAGTTTATATGGCTTGTCACTGGAGCTACAGAGTTTGTACTTTGTGGATACCCCCAGCAGGCGGCCGGCTTTTGTGCTGTGAGACTCAGCCATGTGCAATAAAGTCGATCCCCAAGCTTTTATTTATTTTTAATTTCCAGCATCTATAGAACCTGTATTTGTTTGTCAGTTCCATCTGCCAAACTGTTTCTTATGTTGTGTGAGATTCCAGCACGAGCTATATTTGTATTGCCATCCATATTTGTGACTGTTTTAGTATCTCCCTAGGTTTTTTTGTTTGATGATACATTGATCTTTACAGGACACAGTTACATGGACTTGTGAAGGCTTGTCAGTGTAAGTATTGACATCATGTTTGTACCTGATCTTTTCGCTTCTTTCTTCTTCTTCTTCAACGTCTCCTTCCTTCTCCTCCTCCTCCTCAGTTTGTAAAGCCCTAGAGGTTCTTTGCTGCCGATATCACCACCTCCATTCATCTCTATGTAATCTTTTTCCACTTGGTGACTCCAAATGTTTGTACATCTGCCTGGATGTCATCTCTCCACTGCCTTCGCAGTCTGCCTCCTGGTCTACGGACATCATCTTTCCCCTTCCTTCCCAGTCTGCCTCCTGGTCTACGGACATCATCTCTCCACTGTCTTCTCAGTCTGCCTCCTGGTCTACGGACATCATCTCTCTACTCTCTTCTCAGTCTGCCTCCTGGTCTACGGACATCATCTCTCCACTGTCTTCTCAGTCTGCCTCCTGGTCTACGGACATCATCTCTCCACTGTCTTCTCAGTCTGCCTCCTGGTCTACGGACATCATCTCTCCACTGTCTTCTCAGTCTGCCTCCTGGTCTACGGACATCATCTCTCCACTGTCTTCTCAGTCTGCCTCCTGGTCTACGGACATCATCTCTCCACTGTCTTCTCAGTCTGCCTCCTGGTCTACGGACATCATCTCTCCACTGTCTTCTCAGTCTGCCTCCTGGTCTACGGACATCATCTCTCCACTGTCTTCTCAGTCTGCCTCTTGGTCTACGGACATCATCTCTCCACTGTCTTCTCAGTCTGCCTCCTGGTCTACGGACATCATCTCTCCACTGTCTTCTCAGTCTGCCTCTTGGTCTACGGACATCATCTCTCCACTGTCTTCTCAGTCTGCCTCTTGGTCTACGGACATCATCTCTCCACTGTCTTCTCAGTCTGCCTCCTGGTCTACGGACATCATCTCTCCACTGTCTTCTCAGTCTGCCTCCTGGTCTACTGACATCATCATACTTGCTTCCCTAACAAACTGTTCTGTATCCATGTTGGGCTAGGTCGGTCCCTTAGAGCCATAATGGTCAAAACAATGAAGGAATGCCTTGGTTGGGGATTGAACCAATATGATTGTTCTGTTGGACACGTGGGCTAACCACTGTGTGACTGTGACTCCTATGTAAATATAGATAATGTTGTTTCATCTGCAGATACCAGTTGATGTGGTTGACTATCTGTCAGTTCTACACCAGGTGTGAGATAGAGGTGAGTGAACATTTCACAGTTCTACACCAGGTGTGAGATAGAGGTGAGTGAACATTTGTCACAGTTCTACACCAGGTGTGAGATAGAGTCTGTGAGTAATCACATTTCAACAAAACTGTTCTGTACCAGTTGTGAGATAGAGGTGAGTGAACCATCACAGTTCTACACCAAGAGTGAGATAGAGGTGAGTGAACAATTTCACAGCTCTGTTGGAGGTGTGGGATAGAGTGTGAGTGACTCATTTCACAGTTCTACACCAGGTGTGAGATAGAGGTGAGTGAACATTTCACAGTTCTACACCAGGTTTGAGATAGAGATAAGTGAACATTTCACAGTTCTACACCAAGAGTGAGATAGAGGTGAGTGAACATTTCACAGTTCTACACCAAGAGTGAGATAGAGGTAAGTGAACATTTCATAGTTCTGCACCAGGTTTGAGATAAAGATAAATGAACATTTCACAGTTCTACACCAGGTGTGAGATAGAGGTGAGTGAACATTTCACAGTTCTGCACCAGGTGTGAGATAGAGGTGAGTGAACATTTCATAGTTCTACACCAGGTGTGAGATAAAGGTGAGTGAACATTTCACAGTTCATAGTTCTGCACCAGGTGTGAGATAGAGGTGAGTGAACATTTCATAGTTCTGCACCAGGTGTGAGATATAGGTGAGTGAACATTTCACAGTTCTACACCAGGTGTGAGATAGAGGTGAGTGAACATTTCATAGTTCTGCACCAGGTGTGAGATAGAGGTGAGTGAACATTTCATAGTTCTGCACCAGGTGTGAGATAGAGGTGAGTGAACATTTCATAGTTCTGCACCAGGTGTGAGATAGAGGTGAGTGAACATTTCATAGTTCTACACCAGGTGTGAGATAGAGGTGAGTGAACATTTCATAGTTCTACACCAGGTGTGAGATAGATGTGAGTGAACATTTCACAGTTCTACACCAGGTGTGAGATAGAGGTGAGTGAACATTTCACAGTTCTGCACCAGGTGTGAGATAGAGGTGAGTGAACATTTCACAGTTCTACACCAGGTGTGAGATAGAGGTGAGTGAACATTTCATAGTTCTACACCAGGTGTGAGATAGAGGTGAGTGAACATTTCATAGTTCTACACCAGGTGTGAGATAGAGGTGAGTGAACATTTCACAGTTCTACACCAGGTGTGAGATAGAGGTAAGTGAACATTTCACAGTTCTACACCAGGTGTGAGATAGAGGTAAGTGAACATTTCATAGTTCTGCACCAGGTTTGAGATAAAGATAAATGAACGTTTCACAGTTCTGCACCAGGTTTGAGATAGAGGTGAGTGAACATTTCATAGTTCTACACCAGGTGTGAGATAGAGGTGAGTGAACATTTCATAGTTCTGCACCAGGTGTGAGATAAATGTGAGTGAACATTTCATAGTTCTGCACCAGTTGTGAGATAGAGGTGAGTGAACATTTCACAGTTCTGCACCAGGTGTGAGATAGAGGTGAGTGAACATTTCATATTTCTGCACCAGGTGTGAGATAGAGGTGAGTGAACATTTCATATTTCTGCACCAGGTGTGAGATAGAGGTGAGTGAACATTTCATATTTCTGCACCAGGTGTGAGATAGAGGTGAGTGAACATTTCATATTTCTGCACCAGGTGTGAGATAGAGGTGAGTGAACATTTCATATTTCTGCACCAGGTGTGAGATAGAGGTGAGTGAACATTTCATATTTCTGCACCAGGTGTGAGATAGAGGTGAGTGAACATTTCATATTTCTGCTTCAGGTGTGAGATAGAGGTGAGTGAACATTTCATATTTCTGCACCAGGTGTGAGATAGAGGTGAGTGAACATTTCATAGTTCTGCACCAGGTGTGAGATAAAGGTGAGTGAACATTTCACAGTTCTGCACCAGGTGTGAGATAGAGGTGAGTGAACATTTCATATTTCTGCACCAGGTACACATTTATTCCCCACTGTTTATGTAAACTCTAACATCTATTTCCCAGTATTTACCTGTGTACAGACTCTCACATCAATTCCCCAGTATTTACCTTTGTACAAACTTACATTTATTCCCCAGTATTTACCTTTGTACAAACTCTCACATCTATTTACCTGTGCACTTTATTTCCCAGTATTTAACTGTGTTCAAACACTCGTATTTATTCCCTAGTATTTACCTGTGTACAAACTCACATCTATTCCCCAGTATTTACCTTTATACAAACTTTCACATCTATTTACCTGTGTACAAACACTCACATTTATTCCCCAGTATTTACCTGTGTACAAACTCACATCTATTCCCCAGTATTTACCTGTGTACATACTCTCACATGTATTTACCTGTGTAGAAACTCTAACATCTATTCCCCAGTATTTACCTTACAAACTCACATCTGTTCCCCAGTATTTACATGTATACTAACTCTCACATCTATTCCCCAGTATTTACCTGTGTACAAACTCTCACATCTATTCCCCAGTATTTATGTGTGCACAAACTCTCACATCTATTTACCTGTAAAAAAACTCTCCTATCTATTTCCTAGTATTTACCTGTGTACAAACTCTCACATCTATTTACCTGTGTACAAACTCTCACATCTATTCCCCAGTATTTACCTGTGTACAAACTCTCACATCTATTCCCCAGTATTTACCTGTGTACAAACTCTCACATCTATTTACCTGTGTACAAACTCACATCTATTCCCCAGTATTTACCTGTTCACAAACTCTCTCATTTATTCCCCAGTATTTACCTGTGCGCAAACTTTCACATCTATTCCCCAGTATTTACCTGTGCTCAATCTCTCACATCTATTCCCCAGTATTTACTTGTATACTGTTTTTCACATCTATTCCCCAGTATTTACCTGTGCACAAACTCTCACATCTATTCCCCAGTATTTACCTGTGCACAAACTCCTACATCTTTTCCCCAGTATTTACCTGTGCTCAATCTCTCACATCTATTCCCGGGTATTTACCTGTGCACAAACTCTCACATCTATTCCCCAGTATTTACCTGTGCTCAATCTCTCACATCTATTCCCCAGTATTTACCTGTAAACTGTTTCCCACATCTATTCCCCAGTATTTACCTGTGCACAAACTCTTACATCTATTCCCCACTATTTACTTGTGTAAAACTCTTACATCTATTTACCTGTTTACAAACTCTCGCATCTATTCACCAGTATTTACCTGTGTACAAACTCTTACATCTATTTACCTGTGTACAAACTCTCACATCTATTCCACAGTATTTACCTGTGTACAGACACTCACATTTATTCCACAGTATTTACCTGTGTACAAACTCTCACATCTAATCCCAGTATTTACCTGTGCACAATCTCTTACATCTATTTCCCAGTATTTACCTGTGCACAATCTCTCACATCTATTTCCCAGTATTTACCTGTATACTGTTTCTCACATCTTTTCCCCAGTATTTACCTTTGCACAAACTCTCACATCTATTCCCCAGTATTTACCTGTGTACACACCAAATGAAGCTGAGCAGGCAAACCCCAGATTGTATGCAGACAATGTAAGAGAACTGATGGCGTCGTAAGTATTGTATCTTGTCTGATGTCGATTGTCTCTGTCTAGAGAAGCTGAAGTGTTGTATCTTGTCTGATGTTGATTGTCTCTGTCTAGAGAAGCTGAAGTGTTGTATCTTGTCTGATGTTGATTGTCTCTGTCTAGAGAAGCTGAAGTGTTGTATCTTGTCTGATGTCGATGGTCTCTGTCTAGAGAAGCTGAAGTGTTGTATCTTGTCTGATGTCGATGGTCTCTGTCTAGAGAAGCTGAAGTGTTGTATCTTGTCTGATGTCGATGGTCTCTGTCTAGAGAAGCTGACGTGTTGTATCTTGTCTGATGTTGATTGTCTCTGTCTAGAGAAGCTGAAGTGTTGTATCTTGTCTGATGTTGATTGTCTCTGTCTAGAGAAGCTGAAGTGTTGTATCTTGTCTGATGTTGATTGTCTCTGTCTAGAGAAGCTGACGTGTTGTATCTTGTCTGATATTGATTGTCTCTGTCTAGAGAAGCTGAAGTGTTGTATCTTGTCTGATGTTGATTGTCTCTGTCTAGAGAAGCTGACGTGTTGTATCTTGTCTGATGTTGATTGTCTCTGTCTAGAGAAGCTGAAGATGTTGTTCTTGTCTGATCTTGTCTGACGTGTTGTATCTGTCTCTCTGTCTAGAGAAGCTGAAGTGTTGTATCTTGTCTGATGTTGATTGTTTCTGTCTAACAGTGTCTGTAGAAAATGATGTACCTCCTGATCTAGCAAATACTAGACATTGTGGGGATATTGATGACGTCACTTGTTATCGATTGCTAGTTTATGTTCTGCTCTTTCCAACACCTCAGTGTTTGTGATCTTGTCCTGCCACTTAATGCCAAGTATTCTTCTTAGGTATCTCATGTGAAAGCTATTTAGCCATCTCTCCTGAGGCAAATAGGCTGACCAAGTTTCACTGCTATAAAGCTGAGTGCTGAGAGCACAAGCCTGATGGACAAAAGAGTTTTTGTTACAGTCGTGAGCTTTCTGTTCTCCCAAACTCGTTTTGTTAATCTACTCATTTTGTTGCTGCCTTACATATCCTGATGTTGATTTCTTGGTGCAGCGGTAGTTTCGTTATTCACAGTGGTTCCCAGATAGGTAAAATGGTCTACTGTCTCCAGCACTCACCTTCAGTGTATACTGCAGGTCTATCTTTAACACCTTGCTCCATAACCATTGTCTTCTTTCTGCTAATTGTCAGCCCAGATTCCCAGCACGCATCAGCAAATGCAGACAGTAAACATTGCAGCTTCTCCTCCCAGTGGGTGGTTATTGTGGCATCATCTGCAAACAGCAACTCTCGGATAAGTACCTTTCTTATCCTGGTTTTGGCCTTCAGCCTACAAGCATTGTAAAGGCTGCCGTCGTCAGATTGAGAATGGATGAATATACCACCCTCCTGATCTTGAAAGGCATGTTTCAAAAGAAGTGAGAAGTATATTCAAAAGAAGTGAATATATAAGAGGGTAGGAGCAGGTACACATCCCTGCATTCGCTCCATTGTTGATTCCAAACTCTTCTGATATTACCCCCTCAAAGTTGATTGTACCTTTCATACCTGTGTGGAACAGCTTAATAATGCTCAGTAGGGTAGGTGGACACCCAGTCTTCGACAGCGTGTTGAACGGAACTTTTTAGCTAACCAAATCAAAGCCCTTGGTAAGATCTATAAATTCAGTATTTAGTGGTTGATTTTGTTCATTTTCCTGTAACTGTCGTAATGAAAATATCATATCAGTGGTAGACCAGTCCCCCACGAAAGCCACACTGGGACTCTGGGTAAACCTGGTCTCCTAAGATCTTGAGTCTTCGCAGAACAATTCTCGCAAGTACTTTTCCAACAGTATGCAGCAGTGATATTTCCCTGTAGTTATTGCAGTCACTCTGATCACCCTTGTTCTTGTACACAGTTATGAAGCTTAACTCTTAACAGAAGCTACTTTTTGCAAATGATTTCTAGCTTCTGTCATTTCACTGAGAGTGTTCCTTGTTGTTCTTTACTTGTTTCTATAGTATTAACTTGTTGCTGTCACTTAAAGGTTGGAGTGTCTGGCTGTTTGCTTCAAACCAGTCCTTATGCGATGACTTTCTTTTATCTTCTACTGGCTCGCCTCATCGCACGCTCGCTGCCATCTCACAAAACCGACATCACACGACGAGCAGAAAAATGGACGACTGGAAAACAACACGATACTGTTCCAGTACTTTAATCTTCCACTCGCGGCTTACACCGCCGGCACATGAACTAGACAACTGTCCAGGCACACATTATAATGCAAGTATCAAATATTACCTTCAAGCAGAAATCACAATCGCCCTACACTAACATCTTGAACGAAACACAGCAGCTGTCCTGACAGACAAACTCAGACGACCCGCAGACATATTACTGGCCAGCTTTTTTCGCCAAGTTGGACTGGAACAAATTCACTCACAAAAACATCTGCTGAATCCACACATCATCCACCGCTGTCCATGCACACTGTTCCTAGGTCCAAAACGAGACTGCCCCACAAACCTTTTCTTCGCTATTATATAGCCCTCTGATCTGTCCTGTTCTCGAATATTCTGGATAATTTCATTCTCACGAATTCGCCGTACAAATCCTGCCAGTCAACCTTCATGGTTCACGTGAACAATCATGTTTCACATAAAACCTGACTTTCAGATGTCTCTCATGAAACTCAAGACATAAATCTCGTGTTATCTCAGTCAGTCAAAACATTCGCCTTACATTTATTACTGACGTCATCTATCGGGCATAACTTAATGGGGAGAAAATGACTCACTACATTCTCCCCCACCCCAAAAAAATGTTTTACATTTTCAATCAATCAGGTGTGAACATTTCACTGAACATTGTGATTCTAGACCTTTGTAGTGAATCATTTTCGACAAGTTCATTTCCAACAAAGTTCCCTTTTCTTCATTAGATTAACAATTCAAACACTCTAAAATGCCATCTGTTGGGTCTTTGCACGACTGTGAATACCTTAATGGAATCCTCACCCCAGGCACTCCCCTTTTAGTGCGGAAGACCAATAATCTGGCTCCATAGGTATCCCCACCCAGTTCTAAAGTCGGTATACAACCGAACCCCTCTCCTGGCACCCCCCGATCGGTGCGGAAGTCCAAAATCTTGGCTCTAAAACCGAAGTGTGACCCCATGAAGTCCCACCCTCGCTATTCCCATTCATGAAAGCCCTCAACAATGGCTAAATCAGCAATGTATGGTTTTGCTCCCAAATATGTAAGGTACAAGATGTAGGTAATTACCTTGTCTTCAGAAACTACAACATGTCTCATTAACACACATATTCAAATTAAATGCTACACCAATTCAATTTAGTATACTAGTAAATGTAACATTTTCTGGTGAGGTGTATTTTAACCCTGAATGTTGTCTCCCTTTAATTCTAATTGTTTACTATATTATACCCGTTCAAATCAAAACATATACATTTTTCAAGTTGTAAATTCATATAATACATTCATACAATAATACAATGCATACCCTTGCATAAAATGATTTCAGTTAATACAAGTTGTAATAGCAGTTGCAACATATTCTACAAACGTGACATGATATCTGGTAAATGATTATCTGTTCCTTTGATGTGTTCAATGTTAAATTTGAATTGTGATATCAACAATGCCCATCTATATACCCTTGGATTGCTATTGGCATCAATTGTTAATAATTTTGTCAACCCCAAGTTATCTGTTAAAATAGTGAATTCTTTTCCCAAAAGAAACTTCTGAAACTTTTTTAGACTAATAACTAGTGCCAACGCTTCTCGTTCAAATGTATTGTATTTTTGTTGAGTTTGGTTAAGTTTCTGTGACATATACATTACTGGGAGTAATGTTTGTGAATGTTTCTGCGCAAGCATACTAGCTATTGTGTGACCGCTGGCATCTGATTGTAGAAAAAATCTTTTGGAAGGGTCAGGTTGTCTCAAAATAGGATATTTTGAAAAACAGTTTTTTATTTTAACTAGAATTTCCTCATGTGTTTCATTCCAATCTGATTTTTTCAATTGTTGATTCTTTAATAACTCTGATAGTGGTGATGTTAGTGCTGCTAAATTTGGGATGAATTTACCATAATAGTTTATTAACCCTAGTAGAGATTGGAGCTGCTTTTTAGTTTTAGGTTTTTGGATCTTCAAAATTTTCGAAACAATGTTTTCATCTGTTTGGACTAAACCTTCGCATATAACATGTCCTAAGTATTCAATTTTGGTGTATGCAATTTCAGTTTTTAAAGGATTCACTGTCAATTTCACGTCATTTATTCTTGATAGGACTTTTTGTAGGGTAGTGCAGTGGTCGTGCAATGTTTTGGTGTGTATACAGATGTCATCCATGTATGCTGTGATGTGAGGAATTGCATATAACAGTTTCCTAACCATTTTTGTGAAAATTTTCGGAGCGTTTATTAAACCAAATGGTAAACGCAACCATTGTTTGAGTCCAATTGGAGTTTGAAAGCTAGTATATTTTACAGCTTCTGGTGTTAGTGGTCCCCCCCCCCCCCATCGAACACCGGCTGTGAATTCCAGTGGAAGGTCCCGGTTAATCGTCCGCCTGGACTTTTGGCTTTCACCTGGACCTGATTTTTGCGTGTACAACCGTTTTTCATTTCCCTGCCTCTTGGGCAGCTGTACGCCGACTTCGAAGGAAGACGTCAGGCCTATTTCTAGGGTGACTGTGGCCATTGTTTTGTGTTGGTCGAGACGTTGCCTGATTTGTGTGGTGTCCATTTTGTCTCCTTCGCCGCAGGTATTGCCCCCAGAGTACCCCTTTGGGGCAGCCCCCTGTGGAACAGTTGGCCCTCAAGGGAAGGCAGGGGCAGATCATGGGCATTCCCCGCCATCCAAGGAGGCTTCCATGCATGCAGAGCCGGCACATATCGCTCTGATTCTGGGCTCACCCAAGGAATCGTCACGTCCTGCACATGCCTGATAACCTCACAACCGTATCAGGCCTTCCGCTCGACAGG